AAGCTGTACAATCGCAAATATATATACTTATTTATACAGGGTGATAATAATACTGATAATAAACTTATGATATACATGGTGACGGTGAGGTTAAATAAACAAAGGTATTAGAAAAAATTTTTTTTAAAAACAAGGAAAGTTTGATAGATAATGGCTTAGATATTCATCGGGTAAGAGTAGCTCAGCATGATAAAATAACATAAAATGTTGAAACAGAGATGAAATGTAATCGGAATGATCGTTGAAATAAAAACAAACCGGTAGATTATTAGTTTTACTAAAAGTGATTGACAACGCTAACCCTAATAAACAGTGTTTAGACACGATTAGTGACATGAAACACAGCATCATTGGTCCAAAGAATCCAAGCGCATTTGGTTCCGCTAATTAAGGTGGATAACGATACTGTCAAAGAAAGGAAGTCACCAATACATTACGCTTTTCAAAATCTGATTAGATTAACACTTGATGAAAGAAGCGTTTGATTTAACAGTGGAACATTACCAATTAACCTTAAGTTAATTACATCTAGATAAAGAATTTCCTTGATAACACTCATCATTTCGAATAGAGCAAGAGCAAATAATTAAGCAGAATAACATAGATGCTTACAACGTATAATATATATAATCAAAATTATTGTCAAGTTCACATACTTACAACAGTAAAAATGGATGTGTCATCACAGTAGAGTAGTGAGAGTGAAGACATATAGTGGGCGTTCTAAATAAATCTAATATGTGAGAGAAGATTATGGATCATCAAACAGCAACAATTAATTAATTGATTACATAATGAAACAACTGAACATAAATTAAAAACAATTATTTGGAGTTAGATATTAACACTATTGGATGCCGGCTCAGTGGTTTAGTAGGTTAAGCGTTCGCGCGCGAGACTGAGGACCCTGGGTTCGAATCTCGCAAGCGGGATTGTGGGTACGCACTGCTGAGGAGTCACGCAATAGGACGAAACGGCTGTCCAGAGCTTGCAGGTTTTGCATGGTGGTCTAGCTTGAATTAACTCATGATATCAATCATTAAAAATTAGAAATAACATGAGTTGAACTCAATCAGTTTGAAAAATTGCACTATTTGTCTCGAACCTAACAAAATAAAATGAGTTCGGATTGTTTTGCTCAATTCCTTGTTCTTGCTCCATTCAAGGTAATATAGAGAACTAAATTTATGAAACTTAACGTTTTCTTATATTCAAACTGTAATTTACGAAAACATATATAACAATAACTGAAAATTAATTCTGAACAAAGATCCAATTAGATCAAGTCATATGTCGAAAAAGAAAATGGAATATGCAATGTGAAATGCTAGTGGTTAAAAAATAATTTGACAACTTTATCTTATGTTTTAGGTAGATTTACTTGAAACTTAAAAGATTTTCATTTTAAGAGTACAGTTTCAGAATTTCTGTACATAACAGAATCAGAGGAATAACATGTTATCATCACACAAAGAGTTTCAATTCTTCATATGTCGAAAACCGGACAATAAATTAGTACGATGAGTTCAAAGTTTCACTGTATTAAATATTTTCTCTCAAATTTTCATTAGTCATAGTGTTAGCTCTAAAACATTGGTAAAACTTTAGTGGTATGCTGAAATCTGAATACTGGATAACTAATAAATACTTAAGATGTATAAAAATAACTCTTTTAATAGTGTGAATTATTTGTCTAAAGTATGAAATATTCAATAACTAAATATGAATGGTGTTTATCCTAAGTTAAACCTCTTTTAAGTCGATTCCATTTATACATTAAGTGTTTACTTACAATATTTGTCTCAGTTCTAAAACCTGTGGGCTTCACAACCAACATTCATTTTGTCTAGGATAGTCTTAAACACAGTGTCTTATATCTCCTTGAAGTTAATTTATCTTATTACTGTCTATGATGTCATTTCAACTAGCTAATTCATCTGACATTTGATTGAGCCAGAAATTAGCAGAAAAATATGCGTTAAAACTGTATCCATCACAAAGTGGCATCAACTAGATAATAATCAAAAACTTTTAAGTAGTGTTTTATTCCTTTACTCTTCACATCTTCAACTTTATACCAAGTCGTACTAAAAACCTTCAAGTCTGGCAACCAGTATAATTAGCTTTTTAACATAAGAATCATAACCCACTAGTTTATAGTTTCCACTTCAGTCTAAAGACAACCCGAGGTCATCATGTAGTACTTTTCGATTTTCACTGGTTTATCAACTGATTTTCTGGGAACTCATTTCATTGACACAAATATCTCAGTAAAAAACAACAATATTCAATAAAATCACAGATCGACCATATAACTCCTTATCTGAATTCATTTGAAATGTGAAGAAAAATAAATGAATTCAAACGGATGAATTTTTTCATTGATAAATGTAGATTATAATCTTGGCTAATAAACATAACACAATCATCTTAAAAAATTAGAAAATAAATAAATTCTGCCAATATGATCAAATGAAATACATGTGAACATCATCCTTTACTTATTTACTGATTTACTTACTACTGTTACTCTTCGTCAAGGAGCATAAGCCTCCCACCAACACTCTCCAACATCTTGTAAGTTAAGTGATATTAAATCAGTTCATATCAATTATTAAACATTAATGTTATATACAATATGACACCTTTATTATTGATATAGGAAGTTATTTTATAATTAAAGAATAGATCTAAATTTTATTTATATAAATATTACTTATAACAATCTACTGAATATTGATGCTTCTTCAAACAATATGAACAAAATCAAGATTATTATGTCATAAAATATAATTTACTTGTTAAACAATATTTACTTAAAAATCTCTGATTATTTTCAAGTGTTTGTTAACTTTTTTAAATTTTTCTTCTTCCTCATTCATAAAGTTTCCCATAGAGTCAACATTATAGTTTGAAAAGTTTTCTTTAGGCAATAAATGATACGAATTCAAAAAAAAGAAACATTTTTGTGTCAAAAAGAGTTATTGTTTAATCTATCTTTAAAAAGATATGTCAATATTAAAATAATAAACAACATGTTGATACATTCATTTTATTTAAACACATATGTAGAACCTGGAAGCTCTGGTCGGCTGTTTCGTCCCATTGTTGGACTCCTCAGGGGTGTACATTCACGACCCCGCCTCACGGGATTCGAACCCAGGACCTACTGCTCACTAGTGACTGGCTTCAAGAGGTATATCCTGGAGTTCTAGTGAGAAACAGTGATCAGTGAAGTTAAACCAGGTCAGTTGTAAGATAGTAACTCACTGATGAAAATGGTGGATGTATCGCTCAATTTCGTGGATTAGTTGAAGTTAGACAATAACACCGTTGTATTCCGGCCGGCTAAGTGGTCTAGTTGATTAAGCGCCTTGTGCGAGACTGATAGGTCCTGGGTTCGAATCCCGCGAGGTGTGTTGTGGATGCGCATCGCCGAGGATTCCCACAGTAGAAAGATACGGTCGTCCGGTTCCTCCAGGTTTTTCATGGTGGTCTAGCTTCAATTAACTCATGATCTCAACAACTGAAATTACTAGAATTTCCACAAAACCCCTTCTGATGCATATGTAGAAGTTAATTATTTTCTAAACTCAATTTAAGTAGTAGAGACGATTTAAACAGTTTTTTAGGAAATTTAGAAGATATCTACAATTAGTATTAACTTATGTAAAGATTTATGTTTTCGTATTGTTAATGTTTATGGTTAAATTTGAATAATATCTGTTGCCATATGGTCAACTTCAGTTGATACTACTATATTGTTTGTAAAGATCTGAATAAATTACATAGTGATCATATCTCAGTAGTCAAATGAATGCGGAGATGGTTTTTTTTCAAGTCATAGGTACTGAGCTTGAATGCGTTAGTGAATAATAACACTGGGGTTCATGTGAAATGAGCTGACTTTAGTTAGATTACAGACAATGACTTGACAGTTAAAAATTGCTACATTCTAAGTCTTTTGTTTCGTCCAGAAATCAAACATCTTTTCCCGAAAATCTATGCAAATTTATAAGTTATTCTACCTAAACATTGTTGAGATGTTTTTAGAAAACAATAAAGTCAAATTCACACAAACTAAATTATGTCTACATTTGTTTTCTCTGAGTTGAGCAAAAGTAAATATCAATGGTCTACAACATGGATATCTGTTTCTTGTATTGATTGCATTCACTGAATTAAAATTATTAATGTACTGCCGCCATTTAGCGTTATTTGTTTCTGAGGAAAAGCAGTAATGATATGTTTTTTAAAGATTAAAGTATATGCTAATATTACAATATGAAATGTTTCATTTAATTCTTGTTCGAATAGTTTAAATGGCTTATTACTTTTCAAAAATAATATATTCAAGGTACAAGGTGGTAGGTTCTCGAATTAAATATATGAATGGGATGTTTATGAAGGTCTATAAAATCATCACCGAATAAGTCACATGTTTGAGTATTAGCGTTAGACCTATTACATTCAACCATAGTAGTATTTACGGTTTTCGAATAAGCAAAATAGATGGAAATGTAATCAGTTTTCTGGCAAGATATAAATTCAATATTTTCTTTCAATTTAAGAAAAAATGATTTAAATCCAATACAGGCATGGTAGTTTCTGACGTAAATAAAAATCTATACATACAATAAAAAAAATTAAACATAGAAAGAAGTATATCTTTAGAGTGAAAGCATAGAGTTTGAATGACCTACTGAAGTAAAATGTATGATTTACATAGCGTAAACATGTAACTAACTTTCAAGATCGGATCTGTCAACATACGGTCGGTTGAAGATTTATTTCATATTAGTAAAGAATTCTACTCCTTTATTCATACAACTGAATGTTAATACATTCTATTTTGTTTAATCCTTAATTTAGTTTGAAGCAAATACTTAACCATCTAACCTATTTACTGTTGATAATTTCGTGCTTTATTTTACATTCAAACAATTATTTAATAAAAATCAAATTTTATTATTGTTTTCTTGTTTGTTTGTTTGTTTTAGATATGGTGGTAAATTTAACCAATGGTGATGAAAGCACACTTAACAATACAAATCAAACATACATTTTAACTCCATCAACAAGTTTTCCTAATACTGAACGAATAAACACAATACCATTAACATTTTCTCCAGTATTAAATCGACATCATAAAGTAAATTTCATAACGACTTGTTCATCAGATACTAACGGAAGACAAGTAAGATTAATTGTAAAAATATTAATCAATAGTGATTTTTCATATCTAAACAATTCTTCAAGATTTCTTAATAAAAGATTATAAAACTATCAAATACCAGTATTCATAGCATTTTCCTAGTTAGTATTGACGTTATTCAGCCTAGTTTACTACTATGTAAGTATTAATAAGCACCTTGAAGGCTAGATTATGTTGACTAGTTGATCAAAGTATAACTTTTGGTGTAGTGCTCTAATTCAAGGTATTTATCAGCTTTACTTTTTAAAGATAACTATCAATTGATATTCCACTGTTACACTTTCACACGACTTGATCTAAATTAAGGATTAAATTATCCTAATGTAGTTTAAGTAGACTTTGCAGAAAATTGTTTCAACTTTTACAGACTTTCATAGCATCAATGGAAAAATCTTAAAACATTCATAAGTAAAGTTGTTGAGAAACTTTTCATTTTCTGTTCTGAATTTTAGCTAGTATATTTTCATTAATAACACATAACTTTATCATTGATATCTTATCGTGTGACAACAGATTGCTTAATAAACTATTATTTCGATCTTGTTTAATAGTGATTAACGTGATTTCGATTATTTTCTTGAATGAGCTTGAATAAAATTATTAAATGACACGTTCGGACTGTTCACAACTAAGATCAATGTTTGAAATCAGTTGAATAATTAAAAGAAACTCCGTGTGAAGTAAAATAATTAGTTTGCTTTAAAAAAGTTTGTTTATTTCAATATCCTATGTGAAAATCCCATAATATATTTTTCCCAATACTAATGTACATTTCTTTGATTAGAAAAAACATTTCTTGTATGGCGATAATCTGTTTTTTTTAAATAAATGAGTTAAATAACTGTTCACAAGTAAAGCTTAACCTGTAGCCTCAATTTTCTATGTCTACTTAAGATCATTCTTTTAGTAATTCAAACATTTTGCACTTATATCTCTGGGTTTTAGATCATAACTCTGTAGTTTTATACTAACCTTTACATGCACACAAAATGTGTAAAGCAAAGTTGAATTGATAAATCTGTACCGATTTATATTATTATTAACAAATAATATGAGTGATTTAAAGTAAATAGCCATAACAAATCATAAAGCAATGGATAGCTGAGAGGTGCATACATAAAATCAAACCATTAATTGTCCCTTATTAAGATACAACAAATGTTTAGTCCATTATTTCTGAAATTGAAATTGAAACAGTTTCAAAGTTTCGTCCAGCAAACTTGCCTGAACCTCTTCAGATTAAAAATTAAAATTATCAAAGCATATATAAGTATTCAATCTTCCTTGGATTTCAATATTTGTTTTTTTAATTGAATTCAATTAATCATCTAATTGATATATTGAATTATCTGAAGTATCAATATTAAAACTAAAAAAAGTGGTCTAAAGAATGAACATAAAGTACTTTTCGTATATTTAACGAAATACACACAGTATGTTCATAAACATAAGAGTTAGTCCTTAATAATGTTGTTTTCTACTAACATTTTATATTTTTATAATAACGAATTAGGAAAAAAACAAACTGATTTAAGCGTAATTATAAACTGTTTATTAAATTTCACTTCTGATTCAACAGTTCTATGTTTGTATTTATTCTTAAATAAGTTTAATTATTTGATTGTTGTTAGTTTGAGGATAAATAACACTTTTTTTCTTTTTTTTTAGTATTTTTCTTTGCCTAATTTATGAAATGCATGAAATCATGGACTGGAAATCATTGCTTAGTTACCAAATTATTATTTATTTATTTATCTTTTTTTTGGATTTTTGAAATAAAATAAAATACCTACTTATAATTAACTGCACGAAACTATCAAGAGAGAAATATTCTGAATAGTTGATCATTGATCATCAACTCTATTTCATTGAAACATTTCATGAAATTTTATGGGATAATATAAAATAAAAAAAAATTTAAAAAGTAACTTTATGTCATGAAAAGACAGTGACAATTTTTTTTTCAAAGATTAATTTTGAGGAATGTTTTTTTGTGAAGAAAAAAGAAACATTTTAAATTAGAAGCCATCAAAATTCAATGGATTTTTGTTTTCCCCCTTCTTTTTTCTTTTTTCGATTACATTAGGAAAATTGTAGTTCTATTCAACTTTAAACATTTAATTTGGATCCAACTATTCATGAATATATTCCAGATTGATATTTTCTTTGAAATAGTTGTATTAATAGTAAAACTAGATTTTCATTAAAATATTTATTTTCACATTGTACATGATTACGCTTAATTAAGAGAATAAGACTAGAATTCTTAAATAGAAATGATGCTTACATCATTTAATACTGATTAAAACAACTAAGTATATAATCCTTCTATAGTTTTGGCAAACAAAATGGATGTTTTTGAAAAAAAACGTATATATAAAAATAATCATTACTATTTGAACTGAAAAATTTCTATAACATCTACAAACGATAATAACTAACTATGATAACAGGCATTGTGTTTATAATAAAAGATAACATGTGAATACATAAAACTGATATTTGGGTTACAACGATTATCTTGTTTAAAACAATTAGTCCCTTTGATAAATTTCGATAATGATATTAGAAGACGAAGATTATCAGAACTATGTGATACATTAGCGCAATACATTTCGAACAATCTGGTCACACATACTTGTTAAGAGCATTTATATATAGAAAATAAAAGGTCAACTAGACTAGAAATGGTATAAGAGGAGATAAGGATAATGATAAGAGTAATAATAATAATAATAATAATAATGTGAACACAAAGCAAAACCTAATCACTCTGGATAATAAGTCAATATTACCAGGGTAGGTTTAAGATAAGAACAAACGGTTTTTGAACACACAAAGGGGGTTTGAATTTTCGTATGGCTAAGGCATCAATAAACCTTAGTATACGCCCGTTTACACTTTTATACAACACTACAAAAGCTGAATTTAAATCAATCTTGTGACCTGTTTCAATTATATGTTTAGCAATAGAGGATGATGGATATTTATCCTCTGCTCTTATTGGGTCACTTAATTGTATTTGTTTCTGAAGCCATTTGGGTACATGTTCACTCACCCTAATGTTTAGATCACGATTACTCCTCCCTATGTATGTGTGACCTCACACATTTAAATTGGTAAACACAGTGGGATGTGACTCAATCGTTTCCAGGTGCTTTAGGTTTTGAATGGAGCATGCACCTTGTTCTTTCTTTGATGTTGACCTTTGCTGTACAATAGATTTTATTGATGACTGATTTAAGTCGTTGTTTCAATAAAAGGCTATTTGAATCACCTCTGGATGATAAGGTGATGTAGACAGGCTTTTTCTCTACCGGTGCTACAGTAGGTCTCGCTGTACCATGGACTTTCCATCTATTTATAAATTTCAGAGGATAGCCATTTTCTATTAATGTTTTATTTAACAACTTAACATCATCAATGACGTCATTGGTACAAATACGGTCGAGTCTGTTGAAAAGATACCTTATCAAACCACGTTTATATTGCACAGGGCAATAACTATAATAACTAAGGTATTGACTTGTTCACGTTGGTTTTCTAAAAATAGATCGCTTGACTGAGCCATCTTCTCGTCTACTCAGAAATACATCTAGGAAGGGAAGCTGATCGTTTTTCTCCTCTTCACATGAGAGACTAATATGGTTTTGGAGAGTGTTAAGTTTATTTAATAAACGGTACATATCCTCTTTTCTCTCACAAACAACTAAGATATCGTCCACATACCTCTTATAAAGTGACGTGTTTCCGATTATGTCATCATTCTGATTTTCAACATGTGCCATGAACACATCTGCTTGTAATCTTCCTAGCGGACTACCCATAGAAACTCCATCAATCTGACGAAGGTATTCACCTTCAAAAGTGAACTGAACTTTGTCAGTACATTATAAAAATAAGCTTTATATGATACTATTCTGAACTACTTCCTAAATTGGCTAATTAACCTGTTTCCTTATTCATAATTCCATTGAATATGAAAGATTTAGGTATTAAAATTATGTGTATCATTTTCGGTATTGTTGTTCTCCGACTACTTAGTTGTATTCATTGTTATAGAATAAAAAATTCCAATCGTACTCAAATTTGCATGCCATGTAAATTAATGCTAACTCCACTGTTAATTGCAATTGTTTATTTTGAAGTTTCCTGTTATTGATATTTTCTCATTTATAATTTGTTCATTACTTATTTAACTAAGATATCAGTAATAACTACCGCGGTGAGAGTTTTGTGAAAATTAAATTATTAGGAATTAGTCTTCCTGCATACTTTGATATTTATCGTTTTTCCTTAACCAACAAACTAAAGAATTAAGTCTTAGAGTTCTAATGCAAAAATGTGACCTGTGACGTTTCATCAGGTTTAGAATGAAACAGATATCACTCACTATAAGTAGAGATGGATGGTGGCCCGTATTGTATTCTGTGAACCGAGTTTCGTCCTATTTCATACTCGTCAGTTGGATATACTTGCATCTCATTAATATTGACAGCAAAACTAAATAAAGTGACTAGGTTTAAAAATATAGACAATTGTACACCTATTCGTTACTTCTTGCTACGAGACATGATATCATGAACTTGACCTCAGATGAAGTCGTCCAGTACTTACGGGTTAATTTTATAAAAACTTCGAGGTACATTATTTCACTAAGTTCACCTGAAAGTACAATTTCGATTTCAATTTTGAAATGTTTGAAACTCCTGAAATGTTGCTGAACAAACTTAATCAAGGATAAGGTTGAATATTTAGTTTTATCGATTAAAGAAGTTAAAGACAACTGCAACAATAATCACGTACAAACAGGTCAATATCTTGATTTATATGAAACATAAAATGAAAAAGATTAAACTAAAGAAAACTAACATTTGAAGTGCAAAGACTGAACTTTTTATCACTTAGTTATTAAAATAAACTGGAAAAATTTTAAAAATCGATCATCGTTCACATAAGTAACAATAATAGTTATCACTGTATTCATAAAAACTAGTCAGTAACAATCATTATTTCTGCTCATAACACTTTTTCAATATATTCAACTCTCTTCTAAATTAATATAACAATATCATTATATAATTTGTTTGTATAAGCAGTATATTGAAGTGAAACTACGTTTTTTTTTCTTGTCCAATTCCACTTAAAATCAAATGTAGCTAACTATTTTCTTTTATATGAAACTATTAGAATGTTATTGAATTCAATGGTTTGACCTGAGAAAACATGATTATTTGACTTGAAAAAGCTTCATTTTCCATATTTTAATGAAAAATAAACTTTGTCATACTCATCAATATGTATTCCATAAAAACATGAACTTTTCATATTAATGAATTACAGGTGGCCTGTTTAAATATCTGGGTTACCTGCTCCCGCCATCTGGATATTTCAAAAAGTTATCTGTTTTCTTGTTTGTTTTAACACAGCATTATTCCCATGAGCCGCATAACCGATTCAGAAGTGTTTGTGATAAGTTTACAACATTTCACTGTACAAATTACAAAAGAGCCCAATCAGACATATCATAGTAGTTGGCAATATGCATCGACAAGAATGTATATTATTCAAATGTCGATTCTCAAACTGCTAACATCTAACTGGCGATCATTCAATTTCTATCTCAAGGATCGATCAAAAAATTAAAAAAAGGAAACGTGTTGAAATACTTTATGTTAAGAATTCTATATTGTACCAAAAATATAATAGTGAATAAAGTCAATAATAATATAAATAAAAAAATAGAAGAAAATAGTGTATCATAAGTTAGTTACTAAGTGGAATAAGTTTTGTGATCATAAAACTGAACTGTTTATCTCTGCTTTTTTTTCATGTTTACTAATTTTAAGGGTAAGTTCATTTGAATAGTTTACAGTTTATTTATTTGTTGATAAAATAACTTTTAACTAACTGACATATTGATCATATTTAAATGAATGAATAAGCAACAACAACAACAACAAAAAAGAAAAACATAATGAAATTTATTAAATGTTGAATAAAGAAACTATAAACATTGAATATGTATTTACTTGATTTCATTTCATTATTCATAGTTAATTTCCTGTATAAGAATAGTTAGTTGTTGACATAAAATACCAGATCTTATTATCATTAATTAATAGAACATAAATTTCAAAGATTTTTATTATTTACTTTGAATTCATGAAAGTTTTTTTCTGTTGTTGTTGCTTTTTGCCATTTTCTTTCTGATTGTATCGTTTCTTGGTGAAAATGCTTTGTTTTGTTCTAAAGATGAAAGAACAATATAATAAGTTGTTTACTTAACAGTTGAATAGAAAAGTAGGAAAACATGAGTAATATATAAATAAATAAATAATTATACATGAATAAATGAAAATAATAGATAGGAAATAAAAATGAAATGGCCCTTTCCCTCTGTTAGGTCTATCTCTCTCTCTCTCTCTCTCTCTATATATATATATATATATATATATATATATATATATATATATATATATATATATATATATATATGAATATGTGCGTGTTGTATTGTTGAACTTTGTACATGCATATACATGCTCTTCATATAAACATATACAAATGTACATATGTGCTGTGATAAAATATTTCTCTCTTTCAATATAAAGGTATAAACAAAATAAATCAAAGAAAGTAGATAAAAGCTAAATTTAGAAAAACTTATGAAACATTTATTATTTTTTATTACTCTCGTTACATTACTATTAGGTGTGCTAATGTGTGAAGTAAAATTGTCATTACAAACTGGAGAAACCATTGGAAATGTAGATACACTAGACAACTATTTCATCTAGGCTTGTATATCATCGTTTATTAATCTGTTTCGCTAACACTACAAGTGGTTGAAGAATGTATCTTTAAATCCTATCGACTATCCTATACATTCCACCA